GCCACCTGAGTGGGATGGGGTAACGCAGTGACCTGCAACAGCAGGACCCAATGGCCTTCATGACCCCTTTCGACTGTACTATTCTGTTATTCCATGAATAGTGCTCCAAAGACTGAGGTGTGGAAACAAGGCTGTAGAAATCTCTCTATCCTTCACTGGCTTCCTTTTGGCAAAGATGAAAGGGCTAGAATAAAACAGCCACCTGAGTGGGATGGGGTAACGTGGTGTCCTGCAACAGCAGGGGGTTGGACTTGATGGCCTTCATGGCCCCTTCCAACTCTACTGTTCTATGATAAGCAAAGCTTTAGGTGAAGGGGGTTCAACTTTTTGCTTTGTGTATGCTCAGAGACTTACAAGTAAAATAAAGACGTTTGACAAGAAGTACTGGTGAGTCTGTTACTGCTGGGAGTACTCAGCTCACAACAACTATGAGCAAACAGAACATACACAGAGTGTTTTATGGAGTCGGTGTCATGTATGCATGGCAGGGAGGGGAAGGAGACTTTGAACGGGTGCTATGCAAGAACAATATAGAAGCATGAAATTGAGATGTGGAGGCATCATGAAATCTTCTGAGGCATCAGGCAAACATTATGACACATAATGTTTCTACTTGGTGTTGGGCGACCGAGACAGATTGGGGATTCTGTTGGTGTACCGTGCACCCTTCTGCCCAACAGTCTCCCTGCCTGTCCAACCACTTGCCTTTTGGACCCTTGCCTGTCTTGGTTAATACATGATTCCAAGCACGGGGTTGGAACCTGGATCTTGGAAGTGGTTAACGCTTCTCTGAGGGAGGGTCGGGTGCCTGCCCCTTTGAAGGAGGCGGTAGTCCGACCGGTCCTGAAGAAGGCGTCACTGGATCGAGAGATGGCCACTAATTACAGACCAGTGGCCAACATCCCATTTCTGGGCAAGGTGTTAGAGTGGGTGGTGGCAGGACAACTCCAAGCACTCTTGGATGAAACTGATTATCTGGACCCATTGCAGTCTGGCTTCAGACTCAGGTTCGGTACTGAATCTGCCTTGGTCGCCCTGTACGATGACCTGTGCAGGGAGAAGGACAGGGGGAGTGCGTCCCTGTTGGTTCTCCTGGACCTCTCAGCGGCTTTCGATACCATCGACCATGGTATCCTTCTGGATAGGCTTGCGGGATTGGGGGTCAGAGGCACTGCTTTGCAGTGGTTCCGCTCCTATCTCAACGGCCGATTCCAGAAGGTGGTGCTGGGGGACTATGGCTCTGCGCCATGGCAGTTATGCCATGGAGTACCGCAGGGGTCCATTTTGTCCCCTTTGCTGTTCAACATCTACATGAAACCGCTGGGAGAGGTCATCAGGAGGTGTGGGCTGCGGAACCATCAGTATGCTGATGATCCCCAGCTCTACCTCTTGTTTTCCACCAATCCAGGTGAGGCGGTGGCTGTACTGAACCGGTGCCTGGCCGAGGTAATGGGCTGGATGAGGGCCAATAAACTGAAGCTCAATCCAGACAAGACAGAGGTCCTGTTGGTTGGCGGATCGGGCTTCGGAGAGGGTGAATTGAACCTTGTCCTGAACGGGGTTGCACTCCCTCTTAGGGACAAGGTCCGCAGCTTGGGAGTGCTCCTCGACCCTGAGCTTTCACTGGAAGCTCAAGTAACAGCAGTGGCGAGGAGCGCTTTCTTCCAGCTTCGGCTGATTTATCAGCTGCGCCCCTACCTGGAGTACGACTGCCTCGCGACAGTGACACATGCGCTGGTGACTTCCCGTCTTGACTTCTGCAATGCGCTCTATGTGGGGCTACCCTTGAAGACGGTCCGGATACTTCAATTGGTTCAAAATAGAGCTGCCAGGTTGCTGACGGGGACTGGACGTTATGCTCACATGACTCCAGTTCTCTGTCAGCTTCACTGGCTTCCCATTGAAGTCCGGGCCAAATTCAAGGTGTTGGTGATGACCTATAAAGCCCTAAACGCCTTGGGTCCTGGTTACCTGAAGGAGCGCTTACATCCTATATGCCCAGCCGCCCCCTGAGATCGGCAGGAGAGGCCCTTCTCCAGGAGCCCTCCGTGAAAGAAATTAGGAGGGTGGTTACTCGGAGGAGGGCTTTCTCAGCGGTGGCGCCTAAGTTATGGAATGCGCTCCCCAGAGAGGTCTGCCTGGCACCATTGTTATTTGTTTTTCGGTGCCAGGCAAAGACCTTTTTATTCAAGCAGCATTTTAAATGTTAATATTATTGAATTTTTCTGGCCAGGGCGGCTTATTTTATATTGTATATTTGTAATTTATTTTAATGTATATATTTTAAAATGTTATGTTGATTTAACTTATTTGTTGTAAGCCGCCCCGAGGCTTCGGCGAATGGGGTGGCATAAAAATGTTTTAATAAATAAATAAAAATAAATCAAGGGCTTCAGTAACATAAAAATACCAGTCAGAAGTTACAGAGTTTAACAGGTTTCAAAGTTTGCTTTTTACAGTCACAGTTAGGAAATTCCTTTAAGACAAAGCTTGAACTGGCCAGGTATTTGAATTGCAATAGGAAACACAGCTGGTGGTGATTAAAGTCTCAGTAAGGTTGCAGCTGCAACAGTTTCCATTTTGCTTATAGGATGGCAAGAGGGGCATGTACAACCAATCAGTGAGAGACACATTTTGCTGTGCTCCACTCTGTTTTATTGTTAGACCATCTGCAGACCTTGGTAGTGGACAGTATATAAAAGTTTGAAATAAATAACTTCTGTGGATTCAGAACTAGTACTATTGAATCAATTCTCCTGCCCCTGCTGCTTTTTAATGTACAGCACTCAGCCAGTGGGTGAATCATTTGCATCCCCTGGGGTTCATTCTCCTTTCCCATAGAAGGAACCAGAACCTGCAGAATGGGGGGGATGGTGAAGGAAGACAGGCAATGCTTTCTATATTCCAAAACGTAAAATTTATAACTTTTATTAGGACAGCTCTAATAAAACACCTCGAGTGCTGCTGCTGCGCATGCTGCTTGCATGCTTAAGGATTTTACCTGGGGGTTTGCATTAGGGTCAGAGAGAGCTGGGCTCCTGGGCATCTCTGGGGGCCTAGAACTATCCTCAGCTGGGAAAACAGCAAGTGATCTGGGACACCCTCAGTGCCGACTTGCTGCATACTGTCTAAAGGGAAGGGGTTATGCTTGGATGTTAGCACTTGGGTTAATCTTCATGTTAGTGTTAGGAATAGGAAATACCTGGGCCTCTGTGCATGTGCAAGGGCCTGGAAATATCCCCAGCGGGACAGAGTGAACAGCTAACCATTACCCCCATGTGCTGCCTTTTAGTATATTGTCTGAATGCTTAGGAATTATGCCTGCCAGTTTGGGTTTAGATTCAGCTTCCAGTTAGGAGCACCTGGTAGCCTGTCTAGTGGTTTGAAAATAAGCTAGATAGCCTAGATTGGACAAACAAAGTGAGTGCTGCCTTTCTGCATCTTATCTGAATGTATAAAAAATTATATACTTCTGCTCACTCATTTGGTATTTCCCAGCTTTTGCAGGTTTCTCCCCTATTCTAAAAGGTTGCAGTATCTCTCTTAGCTATTTACAGTAAAAGCTGCAAGCTAATATGTGCAGGTAATTTTGCTCATCCTTTTCTTCCACCTGCCCTTGGAATGGGGCTGCCAAGAGCTTTTCTGAAATAGACTTCCTTCTGCTTCCCTGGCATAGAATATAAGCCTAAAAATCTGATCTCTGAGTATCTCAGTCTCTTCTTTCTTTAAAGCAAGCTGCTAGTAATGACTGCAAAAATGTGTTTGGAAGTGTATGGCTTTCCAGAAGCTGGAAGGATGTCTGAAAAAAGGTAAAAATACAGGTGATTGAAACACACCATACATTGATGCACATCTGTTCTGAGGTGGCCGCAGGGCAAACAAAGTCTGGGTGGCCTTTATTTACTCTGTATTGCAAAGCTGACCCTGACTGGCCAGCCCAGCTCAGGAAAGACTGTCTTTCAGGAACCTTTCACCCTGATCATGTCAGCAGGAGACATGAGCATGCCAGGTGTGCCTTGGATTTTGGGGTGGTCTCTTTCCTGCTGACCATAACTTACCTCATGCAGCCATATTCTCCACAGGGGTCTGTTTAACATTTTCAGGGACTGGAGAGCCTGCATGAGGAGGAAGGAGCAAGGAAAGCCCCTTTCAGCAGCCCAGATGAATGCATCTAAACCTGGAGCCAACCCAGCGTTTAAATTGCTGCAAGTAACAGAGGGCCATGTGGCATTATAAATACTGATTATTGTGGCACATGCTTTTGTGAACTTGGACTTGCTTCGTCAGATACATACCCATATAAAACTAATGCAATAGCATGGGAAGAGTAAAGCTCTATTTTTCCAAGAGAAACAGAGCAATCCTTCACCACTGCAGCCACAGATGACTATATTATACCATCCTGAGTACCCAGGAAAATATTGACTCCACTCAGGCTTAAACTGAAAGAATCAGATGTCAAACAGAAGTCCCCCATGGAAATCCCTTGCTACAAGAGCAGTAACTGAGAGTTAGCAATCCAGTATCCAGGGGAAAATGAAATCTGAAGTAAAAAAAAGAGTATTGAACAGATTGGCAATGCCAGTTTGGTACACAGTAACAATGCATTATAAGACGCAGACAAGAAAATGTGCAAATAGCCAATGCTGTTCTCTATCCTGGAAAACCAAATTTACAAAATTGCAGAGTTCAGCTAATTAATATTTCAAATGATCCATTTTGTTCCTTCTCCTAACTAACCAGAGCAAACTTCGTACAAGAGCAATATTACAGTCTGGTTCTCTAAAAGATTGTAAGAATCTACTTGGTGGGATCAGAATGCTTTCAGCACCAACACCTAAGGAGGGACCAAAAATTATGACTCCTTCTTCAACGCTCAGAACATTGAAAATCCTGTTAGGCTGTGACCTGAAATATAAACCCCAAGTGCTAAAAGGTATTGAGATTTGGTGATGGGTGAGCCCAGGGAGACGTCAAAGATGAAGCATGGAGGGACATACTTTGCTTGTGGAACTTCTTTATTCTCTCTTAGGCACCAGCCCAAACTTGTTATATTTCTGGGCTTTTGCATGCTTATTTGTCAGTTGATGTTTATTTGCCCAATAACTTCAATGAGAAAAAATCCTTTATGTATTTCAAAACAACTGGCTCATCAACTTCTCCATTGCTTTTGAAGCACTGTTCACATTCATCATGAGACGGCCACTGAATCTTGGGCAATTCTTGACTGCTCCTGCCATCATCTGAACAAAAAGGAAAAGTGAAATTTGGATTATTACCATCATGAAACAAAAAGGGTGTTCTTATCTGAAAGCCCATGGGCGATGCTCAAAACTGTAAAAGACCACTATCTGGTGGTCTTAGAGGGACAAGTTGTCCTGCTGGGGTTTGGGCTAGTGGTGTGAACTCAACTCATCAACAGAAAGTTTAGTTGCAGATTATGGTGGCATAAGGATGGGTGATTTTCTTCACATAGGAACGACTTTGCTAGAAAACAATCCTTTGTTTTTCAAGGTAAAATTTTGCCTTACATCTCTGGACTGTCCACCTTTCAATCTGCAATTTTCAACATAGTGCCCAAACTCACTTTTCTGAATAAGTGAGCTAGACTTATAACAGTATTGCAAGGAAGCCTTTTAATTGAGTAACAAATCAGAAACGAAGAGCAGAGACAACAAAAGAGGCAACATGGAGTGAGGAAACAGTGGACATCTGCTAGCCCTGACTCCTGTGGGCTGTCGTGAGACTATACCTGCCACCCACCCTCCCAGTAACCGTGAGGCCCTCACTTTGCAAGGAAACGATGTAAGCGTTGCGTATTCTCCACAGCCAAAGAATTGCCTCATCGGTGCTCTTCACGCTATCCATGGAGTCACGTGCCATATCCTCAAAGCGCTTTGAACATTTTGGGCAACCAAAGAAGTACTTCATGAATTCTCGCATTGTGGAAAGGGACTTTGATTGTGCTAGAGGGAGACAGAACAGAAAGCCAAGTTAAGCCTGTTACAGTGAGGGTTATGGATGGGTGAGAAAAAAAATCAGCCTGTGGGTGGTTCTCATTCCCTTGCAAACACAAGAACAGGATGCTGGATGCTCTGCTAGCCCTTCCTTCTGACTCCAGCAATGGAATTCTTCACTTCAGCACTGTTAGCACTATCCCTTCAGGCTTAGACCAGTCAACAGTATACCTGGTCTATGCACTCAAGGTCACCAAACAGCAAAGCAGCAGAAGCAGCACAATTTGCGGCGGAGAATGACTGGTAGAAAAGTACTTCTTAGCCCTTTCCTGTCTGTCACTCTGGGTTTCCAGCATTTCCCCCCTGCATTACAGAGAGTACAGGCTAAGGGAGAAAGCAGCGGATGGGGAGGGGGAAGGGTTAAGCGCTTTCTCCCACTGTTACTGCTCTTGCCTTTTGCCAACTACTTTGGGCAGATGTTAGGCCCTTGGTAAACCGAGTCAGGATGGTGGACACTAAATAAGGGGATGCTGAAATGACTGGTGGCATAAATTATTAAAGCCCATATGTATAAATGCCCTCCATATCTTAGGCACAAGCAGTCTTAAGTTATGTTAATTTTTGTTTCCATTTGTCTCTCCTGAAAGTTTCATTCATACTTTCATGCTTATACCTCACAAGCTCTGAATATACAATACATCCTTTTGTGGGATGTATTTATTTTATTTTATTTATTTGGAATACTTATATGCTGCCCCATTCACAAAAGCCTTGGGGCGGCTTCCAATACAAATAAATAGCTAGACAAATACATAAAAACTGGAAACATCCCGGCATAAATATAAAATCAATAAATAAATTCAACAATTAAAATAACATTTAAATAAAAATGTCTTGGTCAGGTGCTGAAAAACAAATAACGACGGCGCCAGGTGGACCTCTCTGGGGAGCGTATTCCATAGGTTGGGTGCCACCACAGAGAAGGCCCTCCTCTGGGTACTCACCCTCTAATATCTTTCACGAAGGGTTCCCGGAGAAGGGCCTCTGCCGCCGATCTCATGGGGAGGGAAGGCAGATATAGAAGCGCTCCTTTAGGTAACCAGGTCCCAAGCCGTTAAGGGCTTTATAGGTGATAACCAGCACCTTGAATTGGGCCCGGACTTTGATGGGAAGCCAGTGAAGCTGACAGAGGACTCGGGTTATATGAGAATAATGCCCAGTCCCCGTCAGCAACCTGGCAGCTCTGTTTTGCACCATCTGAATTATCCAGACCATCTTCAAGGGCAGCCCCACATAGAGCGCATTACAGAAGTCTAATCTGGAAGTTACCAATGCATGTGCCGCTGTCGCCAGGCAATCGTTCTCTAGGCAGGGACGCAGCTGATGGACCAGCCGGAACTGAAGGAAAGCGCTCCTCGCCACTGCCATCAGCTGAGCTTCTAACGACAGCTCTGGGTCGAGGAGCACTCCCAAGCTGCAGACCCTGTCCCTAAGAGGGAGTGCAACCCCATTCAGGACAAGGCCCAGGTCCCCTACCCCGAAGCCCAAACCACCTACCAACAGGACCTCTGTCTTGTCTGGATTGAGCTTCAGTTTATTGGCCCTCATCCAGCGCATTACCTTGGTATTGAAGTTGCTGGGTTATTCAAAGTCAGAATCCTCCCACTTTCTTAAAAAAGTAATTAAGAAGTAAGTTTATGAATGCAAAATGAGATTGCCAGAGATCCTGACTGTGATGTAAAGGGGCGGATCAATAACTGCAATAGGGTTAGGGTTGAGTCCAGACGCTTCAAGGCTAGTCCATGCCTTATATAAGGATTGATGTTTCATAGAAAGAAAACACCCTAAATCATTAAGCAAGAAGAAAATCGAGAGGAAGAGAGCAGGAAAAACTCCTCCTCCTAGTTTGGTGAAAGGTCACATGCAGATATACTAACAACGGTGATGGACTCAAAAGAAGCCAATGCTAGCTGAGTCGCGATAGGAATTCAGGACTTGCTGTCCCTTGAGTTCTTCCAGACCAAGGGTCCTACCAATTGGAAGGCACCATGCTGCTACCCATTCTTTCCTCTTAAACAGATTTTTTTTCCTGGTAAGGAAAAAGATGGACACTCTGGTAGGAAAACACGGGACGGCGAGAAATGGGAAATAATCTCATCCAGATCTCTTGTAAAACTCTGGCAACAAGGCTGTGTGATTGCACGGGGAAAGCTCCCTCTGCAAACACAGTGCATCAATTATTCTTGCATGTGAAACACTTGGCTTACAATCAAGAGTGTAGGGCACCCTCCTATGGCTGATGGAGCCTGTGCCCCAAGATCTGAGCTGGGGCAGCACCTCGCTGCTGATGTGGTTCTTTACATGCTGGCTGAAGCTGCCAGTGTGCAAGCTGATTTCACAGGCAGTGCTAGGGGTACTGGGATTCAAGGCACTGCCGTGGTGCCTCAGCCCCTCCTCCTCCTGAACGCAGTAAAACACTTGGGTGTCTAAGTGTTTTGGAAGGCAAGGCACAGAAGTACACTTTGCTTCTTCACTCTTCTCATCTTCCACTGGATGCCTGTATTCCCCCAAGCTTGGTGGGTTACAGGCAGTGATGTTGTGCAGCATGTTAGAAGAGACAACCAAAGAAAGTTGTAATACTTACTGATTTCCTTATTGCCTGACCGTCCTTCCTGCACTGTCATGTAGTGGAAGAGAAGCCACACGGAGCATGGAAAACCTCGTAATTGAGGGCTGCTTTCACCACATACCATCCAGGTTCGAATGTCTGATTGGCAGCCATTTACGGCCTAAAGGACAAGGTGGGGAAAGCACTCATGATATACCAGGTGGAAAAGGAAAACGGAGTCGGCCCTGGGGTTCCCCAGATGTTTAGCTGGGGCTCTTAAATGTGAAGACTGCAGATTGGTGATGGTGAAAGAGCTTCCCCATATCCTCTGTGAAGTGTGTAGGGGCATGTGCTGAGGGGGGAAGGGCTTGTTCCATGAAAAGAAGTCACCCTGTGGATAATGCTCTGGGTCCACACGGCATGACGCCCCACCATGGCCATGGGGGATGATCAGGTTGAGCACAGCACATCAGTGTACCTCTTTAATAGGCTTCAAAACTTCTGTCAATTCATTCCGTGAGACATTGCTTCTCACACTAAGCCAGTCAGATAGGTTGTGAAGGTCATCGTTGATGATGGAGTCTTCAGGAAAATACTGATGTAGAAGTGAAAAGAAACAAGGTTAATCACCCATCAACCCCTCCTTGTGAGAGGTGAATCAAGACAGAGTCAAGCTTTGAAGGCTATATACAGGATTGTGAATTTACTGAAATGTTACATGAGAATATGATACATTACATTCTTGAACGCCTCAATAATTTTCACTTTAATAAAAATAGAACTTGCACTACACAGGGCTATATTTCCACATATTGGGAAAGCCAAAGCATAGAGGGATCCTTCCCCAACTGGGGGAAAGGCTATCCAGGAGTTGCCAGCGAGACATTTTGCTCAGTCTGAATTCTATCCTACACCAAACCTTGAGTCAACTTTTTTAAAGGCTTACAGCAACAGGAAAAGAAAGAACCCAAGTGATAAAGACACTTGGGCTAAAATGCTAAACAGTGTGATTGGCTAATCACACTGAAAAGCAGTAGCAGATTCATTTTCCACAAACTCATTTATTTCTCACTTCTCACAAAATGAATGGAACAGGCCAGAATGTTTTGCTTACAAGCAACAGAATGGATCAGTTCACAGGAAGATCACTTTAGCAATATCATACGGTTTGGATGCTTCCGAAAGGAATACAAGACCAAAGCTACATGAAAATCTTTGATGGTATCAGACACCCCTTCTGTATTTGGGTCTGAAAGACTGAGAAAAAGTGTGGGTGCATGGAAAGGAATTTGTAAGCAAGCACAATTGGTGGTATTGAACAAGATCATCACCGAGTCAGAGGAATGTCTGCTAAGCCATGAACTGTAGATTTCAGTTTCCCTGCTTTGGGAAGCTTGAGTCCAAATGAGATAAATCTGGTCTTAAATCAGCAGGTACTTGGATCATAACATAGGTAAAGGGTAACATAGAAAATGCCTGTTAACATTGCAAACAAAAGGTTGTGAAATGTAATAATTGTATTTCTGTTCAAAACTCAGTTGTATAGCTCAAATACATACACTGAATACATATGCGTTTTGTAAAGAAATGTCACAGACTATATCCCTTGGATATCATGATCTTTAACTGCACTTTTTTAGTAAAAGCAAGCAAGCAAACCAAACAACCCTCCCAAATACCATGTATCTATTAATATTTAAGGTGCCACATCTTAAATCAGGGGTGCTCACATCCAGTTTTAAAATCACTTTTAATCTTAACTTTTGCGAAAAGTACTTAGTTTCTGAGCACAAAACAAAATATGAACATAGAAACATAGAAAACAGAGCGAGTCAGAAGGGGCCTCCCGGGCCATCTAGTCTGACCTCCGGCACCAGCCGGCTCCGTTCACTACATGCCCACCATGTAGACGTCCAGCCTATCCTTGAACACCCGCACCGATGGAGCCTCAACCACCTCCCGGGGAAGCCCATTCCACACCCTCAGGGTCCTGAATGTCAGGAAGTGCTTCCTGGCATCCAAATGGAACCTTGGCTCCCTGAGCTTTGCTCCGTTGGAGCACGTTCTGCCTTCCTCTGCAGAGGAGAACAGGTCTCTACCCATCTCCGTATGACATCCCCTCACATACCTGTATGTCGCCAACATATCCCCTCTGAGTCTCCTCTTCTCCAGGCTGAAGAGACCCAGTTCCCTCAGTCTCGCCTCATACCCCATCCCCTGCAAACCGGCCACCAACCTTGTGGCCCTACGCTGCACTGACTCTAACCTGACTATATCCTTTCTGTAATGAGGGGCCCAAAACTGAACACAATACTCCAGTTACGGGCGCACTAGAGTCATGTAGAGTGGTAGTAATACCTCTCTTGATCTAGAAGCCACACTTCTGGCTATGCAACCAAGGGTGGCGTTCGCCCTCTTGACCACCACATCACACTGCTGACTCAAGTTTAGCCTGCAGTCAACCAGCACCCCGAGGTCCCTTTCACAGGTGCTGCTCTCCAGCCGCTTGTCACCTAACCTGTACTTATGACAGCTCTTCCTATGCCCCAAGTGCAAGACCTTGCACTTCTCCACATTGAATACCATCCTGTTGTTTCCTGCCCACTTTCATAGTCTGTCCAGATCCTTTTGGATCTGGAGTACCTGCTCCTCAGTTGTGGCCACTGCTCCAGTTTTAGTGTCGTCTGCGAATTTGAACAGCAGACTGTTCACCCCTTCTTCCATGTCATTTATGAAAAGATTAAACAGGATCGGCCCCAGGACAGAGCCCTGGGGGACCTCGCTTGTCACTGGCCACCATCCTGATGATTCCCCACTAATGGTTACCCTCTGCTTTCGGTCAGTCAACCATGCCCTAATCCACCGGACAGTGCTTTGGTGTATCCCAAAACTCCTCAGTTTCTCCTCCAGGATATCATGGGGCACTTTGTCAAAGGCCTTGCTGAAATCCAGGTATACTACATCCACTGCATCCCCTCCATCTAGCCATCTCGAAACCTTGTCATAGAATTGCACAAGGTTTGTGTGGCAGGACCTGTTTTTGCGGAAGCCGTGTTGTGTGGCTGCCAGCCTCCCTTCCCTATCTAGCATCACTAGATCTCTCTCTATTATGAGCCTTTCCATTGTTTTTCCTACAACGGACGTAAGGCTAACCGGTCTATAATTCCCCATGTCCTTTCTACTACCCTTTTTGAAAATTGGGACCACTGATGCCACCCTCCAGTCCTCTGGAACTTCACCTGTTCTCCACGAGGTCTGAAAAATGGAGGCCAGCAGGCGTGAGAGAACCCCTGCCAACTCTCTAAGTACTCTTGGGTGTAACCCGTCAGGGCCTGGCGCCTTTGTAATGTCCAATGCCCTGAGGAGCCCCTCGACTTCAAGGGGGGGTGACTCTAATCAGTGCCCCTAAGTCCCCAGTGTCATCTAATCTCCTATGCGGATGTCCCCTGTCCTGTTTTGGGGAGAACACAGAGGCAAAATAGTCATTTAGCATCTGTGCCTGTTCCCTCATATCAGTCACTGGATCTCCTTCCTCCTTATTTAGTGGTCCCACCACTTGTCTCCCCTTCCTCTTCCTATTTACATGCTGAAAGAAGCCCTTTTTATTGCTCTTGATATTCTTGGCAAGTCTCAGCTTGTAATCAGCCTTAGCCTTGCGAAGAATCCTCCTGCAACGGGCCTCCTCCTCCCGGTATACCCTTTTGTCTATTTCCCCAAGTACCCATTTCCTACGGAGGTTCCTCTTTCGTCTAATCCCTCTAACCACCTCCTTTTGCATCCATGGCGGCACTCTTCTCCGCCTCCCCACCTTACTGACTAGAGGTATCGTCAAGGCTTGCGCTTCCAAAAACTCCCTTTTGAGTGCTATCCACCCCTCCTCAACTCGCTTACCTTCCAGTAACCTATCCCAGGAGACTTTCCCCAGTCTGGCCTTCAGTTGGCCAAAGTTGGCCCTCTTGAAGTCCCAGCTTCTAGTGCTCGACCTGCTGCCCGTCCGCAGTCCCCTGATCTCAAAGCAAAGGATGCAGTGATCACTCGCATCCAGAGCTCCCCTAATCTGTACTTCATCTATCAGCTCCTCCCTAATGGTCAAGACCAAGTCAAGGATGCTTCCCCCCCTCGTCGCCTCTCGGACTCTCTGTGTGAAAAATGCTCCCTCAATAGCTTCTAGGAAGCGACATGACCTGGCTGTCACCGCCGAGTGAGTCTCCCAAGTAATATCCGGGAGACTGAAATCTCCCATAATTACTGTGTCTCTCCCCTGAGATATCCTTAGAATCTGGCCTGTCAGGACATCATCCAGGGTCTCAAGTTGAGACCTGGAGGGCGATAACATACCCCCACTGTCAGTCTCTTTCCCTGTCAAAACCCCTAAGTTTCACCCAGACTGCCTCTACCGAATCCCCATCTGTGCTGCATTCTGTCTCACTGCATCCTATCCCTTCCCTGACATATAAAGCCACGCCCCCACCTCTCTTTCCCTTCCTGTCCTTTCTAAAAAGGTGATACCCTTCTATGTTCACATTCCAGACTTGCCTTTCATCCCACCAAGTTTCTGTGATTCCCACCAGATCATACCCTCCTATTCCCAGGAGAGCTTCAAGCTCTTCCTGCTTATTACCCATGCTCCTAGCATTGGTGTACATGCACCTCAACTCCTTCCCACCACTTCCTTCCCTTGGAGTTCCCAGCCTCCTCCTTCCTCCCTAATACCTGGCCCCTCTCTGTAGGAGTCCTGTCAGTCCCTGCAGTACCTCTAAAACCCTGCTCCCAGAGCCCTGATCCTCCCCCCACACTTGTCCAGTGCAGACACGTTCCTGGGGGGCCTGAACCCCCCCCCCCGGCCCAGTTTAAAGTCTTCCGGACGAAGCTCGCTAGAGCATCTCCAAAGGACCTTTTCCCCATCCTCGTGAGGTGTAACCCGTCCCTTGCCAGAAGTCCATTGGCAAGAAAACGAGTGCCGTGGTCGAGGAACCCGAAGCGTTCCTTCTGGCACCACACGCTACGCCAGTCGTTCACCTTGGAGGCCCTCCTGTCCCTTCCTGGCCCAAATCCCCGGACAGGTAAGATTGATGAGAAGGCCACTTGGGCCTTCAGCTCCCTGAGTTTCTTCCCCAAGACCTCAAAGTCCCTGGTGGTCCCAACCACACCCTGCCTGGCCACATCATTTGTGCCCACATGGATCACCAGGAGCAGCTGGTGACCCCTGGAGCGAACAAGACGCTCCACTCTGTCCATCACATGCCGGATGCGTGTGCCCGGCAGGCAGCAAACCTCTCGTCTCCAGGTTGGGGCGGCACACCGCCGGCTCAGTGCCCCTCAGCAGGGAGTCCCCAACAACAATCACCCGCCGCCGTACCTTTCCGATGCTGGTGGGCGGCCGTGCCCTGGCCCTCGCCTCTCCTGCAGGGGCCCCCTTGCCGCCTGACGTCTCAGGCTGGGGGTCCTGCTGGTCCCCCGAGGCCTCATCAGCCCCAGCCTCCCCAAGTGGAGAGAACATGTTTCCCAGCTCCAGATTGGTGCCAGGAGAAGGAGGAGGCCATGCTGGCCTCCTCCTCCTGTGGCTGACATATCTCCATGTCTCCACAGCTGCTCCTCCCGTGGCCTCTCCCTCAACCCTCTGTCCAGAGGGGGGCTGCTCCGGGGGGGGGGCCTGGAGAGCTCCCTCGGCCCTCAGGCACCTCACCTCCTCTTCTAGCAAGGTCACCATCTTGCACCGAGGGCAAGTGTATCCCTGCCTCTCCTGGGGGAGAAGGGCGAACATGTCGCAGCTCTCGCAGCAGACAGCAACACCCGTGACTCCCGCCAAGGCCATCTCCTGGTCTGCCATCGGTATCCCTTCCGAGACCTTACCTTGGTCCCCTGCCTTGTCTG